AAAAAAAAAAAAAAAAAAAAAAAAAAAAAAAAAAAAAAAAAGTCTGTTTATCTCCTGTGCCCATTTTTTTTTTTTTTTTTTTTTTTGAGACCGGCCGCATCGCGCTCAGCCAGTGAGTGCACCGGTCATCCCTATATAGGATCCGAACCCGCGGCAGGAGCACTGCTGCACTCCCAGCGCCGCACTCTCCCAAGTGTGCCACGGGCTCGGCCCACCTGTGCCCATTTTCTAATTGGATTATTTGGATTTTTTTTTAATGTATAGTTGTTTGATTTCAATTTTAAGTATGTATTTTTTGAGTATGTGAAACATCATGATTCTAAGAATCAGAACTTTGCAAAAAGTTATATTCAGAAAAATGCCACTACTCCCTCATCTTACCATTCCATTCTCAATGTACCTTTCCTTTTTTCTTCCCACCCCATTTCTACCCATACTCTATAATGCCCAATATTGTTAATTTCTGGTTTATCCTTCTTGGATTTCTTTTTCACAAATGAGCAGATATATGTATATTTCATTATACATATTTTCTTACATGAAAGTTAGCCTAGTATAAATATATAGAAATTACTCCATATCAATTTATAGAAAGTTTTCTCATTCTTTTTGACAGGTGTTGCCTCTATTATGCAGATATACAACAATTTTTCAACCACTCTCCTACGTATGGACATTTAGATTGTCTCCAAGATTTTGCAATTATAAACAATGCTGCAATGAATAACTCTGCTAACCTTGTGTATGTGTATTTTTATATCGTTGCAGGTGTACCTTCAGGATAGATGCCTAGATGTGGGATTGCTGGGTCAGAAGGTAAGAGCATATAATTTTGTTAGATTTTGCCAAATTCCTCTCAGAAGGGTGTGCAAGATTGCATTCCCACCAGCTCATTTTGTATCTCTTTTTCCAGAAAATGGAATTTTTCCTAGATGTCTCATATCTTCTGCCTTAAATACAAGATATCCCTTGGAAAGTTTTCAAGTTCACATTTAGATCTTGAACTCAAGTATATAGTAAAATGAAGCCCTAATCTGGAGTGTGTTGTGTCAAACATATCTCCTATACTTTAAAACATAGACACATCAATGGTCACAAGTAATGATTACATTTTGTAAAGATGAATATACTAATCATCCTGATTTGATGATCAGGTATTGATATTCAACTCTGTACCCCACAATTATGTACAATTGATTATGTTTCAATAAAAAAATTAAATTAAATTAAGAAAAAATAGACTCCATCCTAACCCAGCATTAGTGCTGGTTTCTTCCAAGTCCATTCTTGGGCAGGGTCTAGTCAGGGACTCAGGTTCCCCAGTGGCCTCCTCCTCTCGCTGTTTGGGAAGTCCTCTGTGCCACCACGGCCCATCTCGCCTTCCCACTCACTGGCTCTTAACCTTTGCTGCACATCAGCATTCATGTGTCTTCCACTCAAGCCTGAATTCTCTAATCTGACACTTAGTCTGTTGATTTTTGACTCAATTATATCACCAGATTTTGACCTCTCTGTTTTTTAAGATAGATTCTTTATTACCTTCACATATATCAGTTTTCATACTGATTTTAATTATTTTATGTAATGAAGCTGCCACCAGAAAATATCTTCTGATGAACCAGGAATTGTTTTTTCTTTAAACTCTGCTCTATGTAAGGTATTATATGCACAATTGTAGGCATATCCTCTTTAAGCAGAGCTTGATAATTTGATAATTTTGATAATTTGGTAAAGTTAAAAGGAATGAAACGTCTTCCCTTAGTAATGCCTTAACTTTGTGTTTGCAACTTCAATGTCTTAATCCCTGTAATTTGAAGTGATTATGGTATAACGTTGTGAGCTCTTTGAGATATGAACAAATATAAGCTACAGGCACACCAGTTTTTACTCTTACCCTATACTGAAGAGCAGTTTGCCTCGACTATTGCGTTCATTACTTCAGACTTGCTCTACTGAGGACTCATATCTTAAAAGGCTGCAAGTCCTGCCCACTATATGACTTACCATCTCTTTGGGGGAAGATGGCAAAAAAGCCATTTATTTTTCTGTGGTCACTACCCATTTCCTCTTACAATAGTAGCACACAATGACAAATTGAACAAACTGATAGTCTGTTCAATTTCACAGCATGAAGTATACCACCATAAAATGGGAATTAATCAATGACCAGCTCAGGTAAAGTGGCTGCACAAAGATTTCATAAGCTCCCAAATTGCAATCATTTGTTGCGCCATTTTGCAAATCCCCAGTTACCTTAACTTTTATTAACTTAGAGCTATACAAGTTGTCAGCAAAGAAAGAAATGGAGTCTGAGTATGATTAGGCAGATACTATTAAAGAAAAAGGTGATTTAAGATGGTGTCAGGGCCGACCCGGTGGTGCACTGGAGAGTGCGCCACTTGGGAGCGCGGTGGCGCTCCCGCCGAAGGTTCGGATCCCATGTGGAGACCAGTCCCCGCTCACTGGCTGAGCGCGGTGCGGATGCAACACCGAGGGTTGCGATCCCGTTGCTGGTCCCGGTACGGGCGCGACACCAAGGGTTGCGACCCCGTTACCGGTCAGGAAAAAAGACAAAAAGGAAAAAAAAAAGATGGTGTCAAAGAAGAAATAATCTTAATACATTCCCAACCCTGTGTGTAGGCTTCACCTCTGCTGGAGCCTAATTCCACACAGCAGGAACAGTGGGTACTTAAAGGACACACCACCTCCGGGCCGGCCTGGTGGCACACTGCTACAGTGCGCCGCTTCGGAAGCGCGGTGGCGCTCCCGCCGAGGGTTCGGATCCCACATACAGACAGGCCGCTCACTGGCTGAGCGAGGGGCGGGAGCAACACCGAGGGTTGCGATCCCATGGCCGGTCACGAAAAAAGACAAAAAGAAAAAAAAAAAAAAGGACACACTGCCTCCTGATAAAGCCAGGCTTTCATCTGAACTCCACAACAGGCTTGGCTGCAGCTTATCTTGGAGATGGTAATTTTAGAGAAAACTGACCTTTGTAAATCTCTTCCCCTCTGCCCCTGCCCCAGTCTTACCTGGAGCAGAGATCCTTTAGAGTTAGGAAGAAAGCAGCTTCAATGAGAAAGTTGGTGCTTATCTTCTTCCCTTCTGAACTGGCTGCCCTGCTTTCTCTCACTTGTCTCTCTCACTGGAGCTTTGGGCTTTTCCCTTATGTGTCCAACATCCTGGGACTTTCCAGATTTTCGTCAGAAATCTGGTGATGAGAAGTCCGAACAAAAGAGCAACCTCTGCTAAGAAGTAGAGTCTCTGCTAGGAAGTGGACTAATATGAAACTGAAAGTGCTGAGTCCCAGGCATAACTGAAGAGCCATAAAAGGAATTGTGCTGATGGGAGGGTTTGACATGATTTTTAGCCAGAAACTTTCAGGTTTATTACCGGGAGAGATCTCCGAGACTGCTTACAATAATAATAATTCATTAGATAATTTAAAATAATGCCATTTATCTCATGTTTGTGGCCAGTTTGAAAAGCATGGGGATGAAAAAACCTCATATAGTATGTTTTAGGTTCAGTTACCTTGAATATTAGACTCATTCACAATGGATCTGATTATCCATGTTTAGTAAGTGAAGACTCTAAGTGCCCTGTGGTCCATGTCTTATACACTTTTGAATTTTTAGAACCTAATCAAGTCCTGACACTTGACATTTAATAAATAATAAATAATAATGATGATAGCTCCCATTTGCTGCACACTTGATTCAGACCCAGTGATAACATCTGTACATTGATTATCACATTTTACTCTTATCATGAATACTTTTATCACAATATTACAGGCTTAATAACTTGCTAAAATCATGGAGCTACTAAGTAAGATTTGAACCCAAGAAGTCTTGCTCCAAAATCTACAGTATCAACCACTCACTAAAATACTTCCATGTTTGCTGAGTGAACAATAACAACATTGATGTTTTCTATTTACTAATTGCCTTCTAGGTCAAATCTTTATATATATCATTTAAATTTCACAATACTGCTTCACAGTATGGAGTGTTTATTATCCCCATTGTCCAAAGAGGAAAAGAATCAGAAAGAGGGTAAGTAATATGTCTACCTAAAGCCACTTGAACTACACCAAACTAGCAAGTCATTGAGTGAGACTCAAACTTGAAAATTCATTGTTTAAGATCACAGTTTCTCTACTCCGGACCTCCAGACTATGTCTAAAAGAAAGAAGAGAGACAGAAGACTGAGAGAGGAAGAGAGTGAGAAACCGTGTGTGTGTGTGTGTGTGTGTGTGTGTGTGTGTGAGAGAGAGAGAGAGAGAGAGAGAGAGAGAGAGAGAGAGAGAGAGAGAGAGAG